TCAGACGTAAAGGCTTTCTCTCGAGTACAGCAGAACAGCCTGAGGTCTGGTTTGGCTGGAGAGTGCCTTAGTCACGGCGGTCAAGTGAATGGTTGAGCTTTTTCTCCTCTTAAGGGTGTGTTCTGCAGGAAAAGAATGCCTCAAGCGGAAAAGCACTCTAAAGCTATACATTTCCTAACACCTCAAAGGACCAAGAACCAGCCTTAAAATGGTCTATTCCTTCTCCCAAGTTTCATATCCCCCCCCTCACACCTCCACCACCATCCTGAAAAGCAGTCTCTTTCTGCTTCTAGCAGCTCTGAAATCCCACATCACTGTTGCACCACAACTACAGACCTTGAATCAACTTCCTCCTACCAAAATGTTGACCCTTAAATTATCAGAAGTCTGACAGATCTCGAATCTGACAGGCTACGCTCTGCCTGGCGTAGCCTTGCCAGCATCTCCCGATTCCAAATTCCAGGTCAAGGAAGGCACCTTTCATTGTCCCAAGACACGTACCCAAATTCCATTCACTGCATCTCTTGCAGAATTTTCAAAGACAAAAATCAAACCCGCAGTATAGCCTCAAACTTTTGAGAGAACCTTCCTTCAGAATAACTAGAGTGATCTGGGTCCCGTGCAGTGGTAACCGTTCAGAAATAGCTCAGCGTTTGAATTACACTGATGGAGGTGAGACGAATGGCACGGCAGGCTGTGTGGAGTAGGCGAATGCTAATGGGTGTAGTGGACATCTCATCTTTTTGTTTTTTTGGGTGCCACAGGAGGTGCTTTGCAACCGGTGAGCAGAGTATCATCCACTGCTGAGTACAGCGTGTTTCTGGAAGAGGTCAGGGTTGGCTGGCACGACCTCCAGCCCTGTGTTTTTGCAAAGGATGAAGAGGCATCTATCTGCCGATGGTAGCAGCGTCCCAGTTAAATCGATGTTGACCTTCTTGAGGATGGATTCTGATGCACAGCCCTCTGAAAGCAAAGTCGAACAGACAGTGGTCTGAGGGGGTAAGGTGGAGAGACTGCAGAGCAGGACGGGCGAGGTGCTTACATCAGTGCAGCGGTGAGGGGTGTTTAGGATCGGTCATGTTTTGGTGCTGAGAGCCGGCGTAGGATTCATTCCACAAGAGGCGAGCATGTGCTGGGCACGGCAGCTCCCGCCTGTGTCCGGCCTCGTCTGGCGGTATCTTTCCCGATCCAGAGTTGTTTTTTCTGCCTATGGTAGTCTCGCATACTACGGTCACGTCGTGTTACGTGTAGCCGGTGTGTGCTCGGGGTGGAGCTGCACAAGATCATACCACTCCCAGTACTGCGGCCCCGCTGGGCCCCGTCACACCGCGCCTCACGCCACTACGGGC